TTATTAGTGGTATTTTAAAATTCAACTAGGGATAATTTTAAAAGAAAAAATTGAGTCAGTGCTTATACAATAAGCACTTAAAAAAGCTAGAAATTTGGGCTTAAAAAATAAGCCCTTATTTTTAAAATAAGAAATTATTTTGGACTTATTTCCTAAACACTAATTAGTGTTTAATGGTGTGATCCCGGTTCAAATAAGCACTCTCAAATATGGCCTTAATAGCCATAGCCTTGCTTATACGAAATATGTTTTCATTTAATCTTATGTTATATTTTTATGAATAAAAACCGATATTATATAAACTATAAAAGTATAATCTATACATATATATATATATATTATATTTAATATAGTGTAATTAAAATTATAGACCTGGAAGCCCGGACCAGGCCCACGTAGGCCCGTGCTCAGGTTTATATCTCCAGCCAGGGTGCATCTAGGACGGGCCTGGGCCTGACCTTGGCTATAGCCCATAGGCAAGGTTTCCCCTGTAAAAATATGAAACAAAAAGTTAAGAAAAAAAAAAAGAAAAGAGAAAGAAAGAATAAGAAAAAAGGACTCCAGTCACCGAAACTAAGGGTGTCAATTGGAGTAGATTTTGTCCAATCTAATCCAGTCCAATGTGAGTCCATTACAAATGGACCAGTCCAATCCAATCCAATGAATATTTTGGATCATTTTGGCCAGATCCAATTTAATGCCCGGATGGTCCAATCTGTTCAAATTTGTTTTAATCTAGATTAATTCTATCCCAAACCTAGTCCATTAACTATATTCTTATCTTCTATCAATGGACCAGATTTTGACTCAATCCAACCCAATCTAGTCTAAATTTATTATGGATGGACCAAGTCCAATCCAATCCAATAAATATTTTGGACTATAAAGTCGGAACTAGTCCAATTCAATGTCTTGTTGGTCTATTCAATCTGTCCAAATTGATTTTGATTTAGATGGGGTCCAACCCAAAACTGGTCCATTGACACCCTATCCGAAATTCTCAATATGGACACTCTGGCATATCAGCCCAGAGTTTGGACCCCATGATCATAAATGAGAAACCCAGCCCATTATCACCCATATCAAGGCAAAAGATGAAATCCTGAAAACCACTAAAGGAGGCAATCGCAAGAGTAAATGTAGATAACAATCCCAAGTATCGATAACATAAGAAAGAATGGATCAATGGGGAGAGATCCCTCGAAGTTTAGAGAAGAATCCCAGAAAATAAGAGTGGGCTGTAGTTATGTATTGGTTGCTCAGAAGATTAAGGTGGTGTTTGGCATCAATGCTATTTTCTCAGAAAACGGCACCCATGTAGGCGCCACATCAGAAAAAGCGGTGCTTCAGAAAATGACCTCTTATTTGTTACTGTTTTTTTAGAAAAAACGTTGCTCTAGACCACACTTTGAAAATTGAGAAAGTAGGGTCTGAAAAGAGCCAAATTCAATGCTTTCTCAAAAAACAACATGTTGCTGCCAATAGTGCAATGACGTGGCAACAATGTGGCATTATCTTGGACGTTAGATAATATAGACCAATGTTGAAAAAGGTTCTACAGCACTGGCACCAAACAAAACCAGTGTTGTTTCCCAGAAAATAGCCTATGTGGCAGCATCGATGCCAAAAAAAAAACCATTTTTTGAGAAAACAGTACAACAAACCTTCATACAAGCAACACCATCTTCTCAGAAACATAAACAACTGCATCGATGCCAAACACCTACTAAGAACTCATCCCCCAGAATTACCACTTAAATATTAAAAATAAATAAATCTCCGTGTAAGTGGGAAAAGCAAACTTTATATTAATTCTGTTGAAATGCTCCATAGTAAATTAGTAATAATTCAAACTTCCAAATAAAAATTCCATAAGCAACTGCGACCTGCGAGTATCATATTGCCGTGGACCCTACAAGAATTACTAATGCATTCGATTTCAAGATGTTGCTGTAGAATATCGAATGATACCGTTACCATACTTGCGGCAGTTCCATCCTCATCGGAGTTACAGCAAGCTGAAGAAGAATGAGCATTTCTTAAAGGAGCCAAGTCAGTCATGAATGACAAAAGTTTTCACTTTTCAAACAGTGAATCCAATCTCATCTTTGAGTTATCAGACCCCGCCACCCACAGGCCACAGGTGGAAGGCTTTTCTTGAGAGTGGAAATCCCTGCTTTATAGTACTGAAGGGACTATGATTCTACTAGCTTAAGTGAATAAAGGTAGAACAAGGAATTAATATTTTCGTTGAATTTGTGCTCAACAACTGTTTTCAGTCTTGGAGAGGTACACAGTTCACACCATTCTACGTCGGCATCTCATTATCTTGGAATCCCCGGGTTTTCTTAACTCTGGAGGATTTTCCTAGGCAAAGGCAATATCCATGAGATCGAATGCACTAAAGGCTGGATTTATGTATGTAATTTTTCTTCATTTTCTATATTATGATTCCTCACTAGTCATGATAGCTTCTTTTCGTTCCATTTCATTTCTTTTAACATTACTAAAGTGTTGCTTTTCAAAAACAAAAATATCTGTGAATTTAAGATAGTCTTCCAGATTGGAGTTGCTCTTGGTTACTTAAGATGATCAGATCATATTAGCTACAAATCCTTCGAGAGTGAGAATGTAGGAAGTAGATGGTTCTGTGTTTTGATCATCAATGATGTGAACTATGTTATTTCAAGTCATAAATAAATGTACTGCATACTTGAAATATTAAGGGATTGTTCTCCAATGCGAATTATTTTTCTTATTGCAAGCTAAAAATTAGGGTTAAAGACTTATGGACTGACCCCCTGGTTTAGCTGAACGTTTTGGCTGTTCAGCAGGCTATGGAACTAATGATAAGGTTCCATGCCAGTAATAAAATACATGGGGCTTATATCTTTCACAGTGAGCCCCATAAATTTATAAATGATATGGAGCCTCATCATTGATTCCACAGCCGCTGAACAGCCAAAGCGTTCAATTAATCCGAATTCCATTTAGTTTCCCCTTTAAAGACCTCTTTTAATATTCTAAAACTCCTATTTTACCCCTTGAAATGAAAAGACTAGAAGCTAATTTCTCCATGTCTGATCTATTACTTCAAGGTTTTGTAGTTTACAAGGTTTTATATTTTGATTTTGATTAGGTGATGCCCATTTACTTCTAATAGTTCTAATTTCTCTCCTCCTAATCTATAGACACCCGAGCCCCTGTGCAGAAAAGAATCCCGTTACTTTGAAGGTGTAGAAGTTATTTAGACCATGTAACCTGTCACTCACACTGATACATTAGTGTTCTTTTGGTGGCCAGTTAATGTGTAGTAACCTTTCTGACAGTTGAAAACAGTGTGGTAATGGATCTGATGTCTGTCATCTATTAGTGGAGGTCCCGTACATGGATTTATTTTGTTAATTATCACTTTCCAGAACTCCTGTTGAACTCCACTTGCTAGCCACAGACCACAGTTATTTTGCAAATACAGGATTCAAGAATTTCAGGAATAGATGATAAAAAACCATCTATTCTTCTGTATTTTTTTATATGTAATATTCCACAATTTCAGAGTTTTTCAGTCGGTAAGGTCTGTGACTGGTTGTAGCGGAGACTTGAGATCAAATCCCGCCTTTACTGGACACATTATAGATTTGGGGGATGAGCCACCAGCTACCCCCTCCCCCAATTTGTAGCCCCATGGAACAAAAAATTTGGGAAAGAAACAACAAGAAAAAAGAAAAGAAAAGAAAGAAGAGAAAACATCTTATTGGTTATATCATATGTGTTTTATATTTCCAATACCATGTCCCATAAATGATTTAATTTCTATACTGCGACTTTTGTTTTTGTTTTAAAAATGATTATTGTAATGGTTTCAAACGTGTATTGCTTTTTTTTAAGCAATACCAACTTTTTTTATTTTCTGAACAAAAAACACCGTTCACGATCACATTTTTGTTTTTGTTCAGATTTGCTCCTCACATAGCGCGCCTCACAGCCATGCATTGAGAACATCTCCCATACTTGATGTTATCATTCATGGGAAAATGTTCCCAATGCACAGTTGCGATGCACTGTGAGGTTGGTGTGGGGCACACTTTGTGAGGAGCAAATCTGAATTCATGTTGTAGAACACCTTCAAGTATAATGGTGTCCCAAGAAAATTGTCATGATACACCATACATCTTCAGTGATGTTTCCTACCAAGCACATCGTTATAAGCAAAAGGAAGAAGAGAATGACCTGAACGTAGTTCATCAAGAGGTCAAATATTATTAGTTAGCCGTCTGTTTCAAGAGTTTTTCTTTTTTTTTTATAGATTATTTCCATTGTTTTTATTTATAAGATAAGAAACTGTATTGCTAAGGTGAATGTTAGTACATAAATAAATTGCTAGTCCAACAAAGGAACCAAAATATCATCATCTTTTCCCACCCTAAACTCTGTCAGAGAATGAGTTGATATACAGAAGACTTCAGGGTCTGCATAACTTGCACTTCTTTGTTTATAAAAGAAAAGTTTTTTTTGAGGTATATTTATAAGAAAAAAGTTTTAAGGTAATATTTGTTTTTCATAAACAGAACGGCTGAATGGCAACTTATTATAACCAGATACTTGTATGATGGTGCCACCTCATGTCAAATGCTTTGATTTTTAGTGCAAATTCTGTATCTAACACCTTGTCCAGCCATGTTCTTGCTATATCTGGGTAATAGATGGCAGGAAGGTTCTCTTCCCATGTCATCACAAATTGTTTTTTGTTTGGAAAAGAAGTTTAGGCTATGTTTGGTTTGTAGGAAAAGGTAGGGAAAGGAAGAGAAAGGTAAGGAAACCTTTACAAACCAAACACACCATTAGGGTAAAAGATCAAAAAGAATTTTCTTTCTTTCTTTCTATTTTTCCCCCTTTTTAATCTTTTGAGGGGTTAACACAAACAGAGATGTTAACCCAATAGCACCATTGAAAAAAGGATCATAAATGCATCAAGAGGATGACAATCTCGATACAGTGGATGGTGCAATACTAACAAGTCATATTGAATTTATTGATATGATCATAAATACTGGATTATAGTGACAATGAAAAATTTTGAGACTGGAAACAAACTTGAAAAGTTAAGCAACGTATAATTGGGGCTATTACAAGACATTCATTGGAAGCATATTCATGAGAATGACCATACTTCTCGCCAAAATTGAGTTTTGAGCCCCAATTAGGTAAATCAAACTAGATAGGAATATGCATGATGGTGTGGTAAAGAAAACGAGGACATCTGGAAGAAAAAAAAAATCCAGTCAAAGTAGGTACTTGAAGTAAATGCAAAGCAAAAATTGTGGATAGATGAGTCTGAATAAAAAATTACCTAAAATTAAACAAGATTAAAATGGAATATATGCAGCAGAAACTAGTGATGACAAGAATAGGAATGAAGTTACAAGATTGGTAACCAAAAGATAGAACAATAATTTTCACTACATCAGTTCAATAACCAATAACAAGCAAGAGATCTAAAAGATTGCTGCCAATAATATTAGAGTGGAGTGGATGGAGTAGAGAACTTTGCATTTTTTAGATAAATAGCAGAGAACTTGGCATTTAGCGTTGGGTGATCAACTCATGCCAATTAGATTGAAAGAAAAACTTTGTAAGACAACCATATGACCACTAATGTTGAGCAGAGTGTAGAGCAATTAAGAAACAAAATATACATACAATGGGAGTAGTAGGGACAAGAATGTTGAGATGGAGAAGTGGTAAGGTTAAACTTAAAAGGGTAGTATATGAGAAAGAGCTTTTTTTTTTTACTTGAAGTATCCCCTACGCTTATTCCATTCATCATCAATCAAAGAATTACACGACCTCCTTATTTACACGCTCAACAATGTAATCTGGGGTACTGCCTTCCCAGACATGGCTACAACAAGCATTAATTCATATCTTTGCCGAAAAGTGAACAATGGAATTATTAGTTCTACAAGTATATTTCACTGAGATTGATTGCTGCTTTCCTAGAAAATGTATACAATCTTCAATGAGAAAGAGCATTTATGACCAAAAATAAATGACAAAGGAGAGAGAGCAAACTGAGATTGCTTTGATCAGAGCATTAAAAGACATCTAAATTACAACTGAAAAAGAGCCAAGTAATTCAAATGGACGGTTCTAAGAAAAAAGCAAGGAGGCTAAAAGGGATGCAGGCTGAAGTACCAAGGATTAAAAAAAGAATCTGACTATTCATAAACAATATTGTCCTCGGTAAATGATAGAATGGAGTGGTAAAACAGGATTAATGTCATCAACCACAAATGTTTGGCAAAAGGATCTCAGAGAAGATTAGAAGAAAGCCTAACTCCAGTTGGAATAGCAGTTGCCAACAATCATCTGATTAAAGGGTGAGCTGCTTCTCTAAATTTGAATTAAAAGAGGTAGGTAAGGCAGGGTTCACTTTACAAAGTCCTCAAGAAGTAACAAACTGGTGGATTGAGGATCATAAAGCAATATTTAAGAACTTTGAGATATTTACTCATTGCATTGCTAGTTGCATAAGTTAAGCTAAGTCTATGGTCTTAAAAAATCTCATTCTACTGTCAAAATCTTATTTTATGTTCCACCCTTATGTTTGTCCTCATCGCTGTATTGCAGACCTTGCCACCAATCAGCGTTTTGTGAGTGTATTGTGAGTTCTGAAGTTCTTCCTGCTTCCATTAGATGACAATAAAGCAGTGTAATACTCCATATGGAAACACAATCCAATTTGCACATTCAATTTTATACAATAGCATACGGCATTGTCCCAAATAAAGACATTTCCAACAGAAAGGAATTTAATCAGTGTGCTTTATGACTTATCAGTAGTACTAAAGCAGAATCAGCAAGTTCTTCTCTCCACTCATATCAATGAATTGTATATTGAAGAAGAAAAGTAATATTGGCCGGCATTACAAATCTAGCACATTCTTAATTCCAAATTTATAATCGTCAAACTCACCAGACCAAGAAATTGTAAGTTTCGCCAAGGAACTCCAGGTGAGCAATAGGATAAGTTCGGGACTTTACTGAAATGACGTGCTGAGATTCTCCCATTATTACAATCAAGACAACCAGATCTAACCCCATGATAGCACTAGTACTTAGTTCCACTATCTATAACGAAAAGGAGTTCACAAGAATGTCTACAGAACCTGATCATTGGCTTCGCTGCGCATCAACAAACTGAAGGATTCGTCTAGTGGTGGCCACTCCAGTTTTACCGATTCTCTGATCCTCACTAACTCCGGGATCTGATTCGTCGTGAACCCATCCGACGGATCTCTGGGCTTCGAGAACGATTTGCGAAATCCCTGAAACAAACACAACCACACGCAAATAGGTTAAAATAGGTTTCTTTGAATAAATTAAATACATTAATTGGAGAGAGAGAGAGAGAGAGAGAGAGAGAGAGACCTTCTTTAACAGTCTGTCTCTTCTCTCGGATCTCGTGAATTGTTGCAGAAATTTTCCAGTAGAGAGGACGACCGATATAGAAGGCCACCAGGAGCAGTAAAACAAAGAAAACCACTCGAAATGAAACCCTAGCTGCTGAAGAGACCATCGTTTCCTTCTTCTCCTTCTCCGTTCCGCTACACAGGAAAAGAAAGATGAACGTGTGACGATAGTTTGTTCCGGAGACGGGAGACTTAACGAGTTATGATCAATCTGGCAAAGGACCCAGACGACGATGTCTCGTTAACTCTGATCCCCCGTCAATCTGTAGTGTCGTCCTTGGTTTAGGCGGTAAAGTCTCGCCATACGGAGAAATCTACAAAATACGGAACATAACATTCTAATAACGTACTACTAAGATCTCAGCCATCAAATTCTACTACCTTCTGGATTTGTGACGTTTCGACGCACGCATATTTTTTTAGTTCTGATCATGACTCATTTATTAGTCAATCGTTCTGGGCCCCACAAAATATCAGAGGGTTGAAACTTGAAAGAAAGATGGGAGTACAGGAAAGTGGAGACCACGAAAAGTACACGTGGCAAGCTACCACGCGGACATCCGGTCAACAATTCCACATTTAAGAGAAAGGAGAAAGCCCGATGGGGTTGCAGCTGCACGGTGCAACCCCATGCGGGTTGCATGAAAGAGAAACACTAACCGTTGTAGGTTGCATGAAAGAGAAACAACGGTTGCGTGAAACAGTGACACTAATCGTTCTGTCTCTCAGCTGAGGACCTGAGGTCAATAGCTATAGCTAGCGCGGATCTGCTGATCACAAAACGCTGGCTACATTCGTGTGCTTACACATTGGGAACATCTCACATGGAACGATATTAGAAATTCTCCCGATGTGCGGATGTAGATGCTGCGTTCACACTTTAGTGGTCAGCAGAACAGTGATCAGCAATAATGTTCATGCCATTTTTTTATTTTTTTTTTCTGGTAAAATATCTTGTGAGAATATGCGTACATTATAGAGGCTAGCATATGGTATCTTCGAGTTTTTCCACATGTACAAGCATCATATTTAAGGGTGTCAATGGACCAGTTTTGAATCGATTGGAGGGTATATGTATGCATATCTTAACTGATTGAATGAGAGTAGCACAACCAGCTTGCCAGCTTGGGATAGTAATTTTGCTCTCTATGACTCCATTTTTTATTTGATTCTCTCAATGAAATATCTATATGTTGTTGAGTAGGCTTTTCCCTAGCCAGAGCTTTGCACCCAAATAGTTGTTTGCTTCAAAGCTAGCTTGTGTTCATTCCTAGGTGTTTCTGAGATAAACTTACTATGTTGTTTGTGAATATTTTTACTGAATAGAAAGAATGCTTGACTTGTTGTAGTTGATCTTTTGACCTGAAGCATCTTCAAACTTTTGTAACATGGATTTCCAAGAGAAAGAAACTTCCTTATTGATTAATTGTGTAAGGATTTCCATCCCTATAATAAATAAATATGGTGACAAGGAATCTCCTTGTCTCGACCCTCTCTTTAGATTAAAATCTTCCGAGACCTCTCCTCCCATTTTGGTAGAGAAATATTCACTGGTGTACTAAGTTAATCCAATGTTCTAAAAAATTCATCTTTCCCATTACCGATATGATGAAATCCCATCTCATTTAATCAAATGCCTTTTGACATGTCCAACTCTAGAGCTATACAACCCTTGCCTTTTTTTTGTTTCTTCATTTTATGCAATATTTTTCTTGCCTAAATAATGTTGTTAGTAATATGACTAATTTTAATAAATCAAATCTTGCAAAATAGGTTAAAGTCTACTGACCATCCATTTTCAAAATAATCTTATATGGAACATTGCAAAGACTGATGGGACAGTCATGAGCTATTTTTGGGTATGAGGATAAGATTTGTATTGTTTAATTCTTTTGGTAGATAGTTGAAATTGTAAAAACTTACGAATCATCTAGTATTTATGTATTCCCTTTCCCTTATGATTAGACCTGTTTATGGGTCGGGTAGCCCGACAGTCCAACCTGATCCTCGGATGGGCTTGGACATATTTTTTAGACCGCAAGCTTGACCTCGGGCCTAAAAGCCCAACTCGATTATTTTTCAGGTCGGGTTTGGGATTTGTCAAAAAAGCCCGACCCAGCCCAATTCTCAGACGGGCTTGGACATGTTTTCTAGCCTGCTGGCTTGACATCGGGCCTAAAAGCCCAACTTGATTATTTTTCAGGTCGGGCTTGGGATTTCTCAAAAAATCCCGGCTCAGTCCCTAGACAAGCTTGGACATGTTTTTCAGCCCGTGGGCTTGACCTCGGGCCTAAAAGCCCGACTTGATTATTTTTCAGGTCGGGCTTAGGATTTGTCAAAAAAGCCCAACTCGAGCCTAGATCGGCCTAACTTTTCCCATAATATAAAATATATAATTATTTTTTTTTATAATTTCTAAACCTTAACCCGACTAACCCTTTCCTTCTTTTCAGTTTTCGTCAATCTCACTTCTCACTCTCTCTAGCTTAACCAATGATAGCTAGCAAGTAGTAACCACCAGCGCCACCAAAGAACCAACGATCTCCGACAAGTCGGCGTCAACTGTCGAGCATAGGCTAGCAGCAGTAGGCGGCAACGACATTACTTTCTTCGATGAACTTAGGTAGCAGGGAGCTAGCAAGGTGGCGAGGTGGTGAATGACAACAAACATTCTCCGGCAAGGCGGCAATGAACTAGGCTAGCAATGGGAGTGGCAATGGAAATGACAACCCAAAACATAAAAATCCTAAAGTTTTAGGCACGAGCCCAATCTGAGGACCAAAAATCGAAGCCCAGCCCATGTAATATTTCAGGCTTGGGTTGGGCCTGCCCAAGTTGCACCCCTAATACATAATGCTTTGTGGTCAACAAATCTAGGCTCCTCACTAGGAGTGCAACTGTACAACTTGGGTGGGCCCAACCTGAACCTGAACCAACCCAGCCTCAAATGGAATTTGAGATTGGATCTCATAAGATACATACAATTCCCGTGGAAGGTTGGCATCAGATAAAAAGAAATAGTGTTTGGGGAGATTTTAAGTTCACTTGTGTGTGTGTGTGTATTTTGACCAGCTAGAATCAAGGTTCAAAGTATCGTTACATTTCGACCTATATCAATCTATACGTATCATTCCGAGACCCTTCTGATACGCCCCTACAGTGGGTGTATCGGGGGTCTAACCAGTTCAGGGGATGGAGGGGTCCTAAACTGGCTCCCCTGAACCAGTTTTGAAAAAAAAAAATAAAAAGAAAGTAAAAAAAAAACAAGTATTGAAACGCCCAACACGCCCCTACCGACGTATCGGGCGTATCGATATTTTGAACCTTGGCTAGAATGAAAATTTTATTCAGCCATTCCCTTGGAGGAATGTCATTCCACCAAGAATGGGAATTAAAATCATGTTCATCACAATGGAACGGTTGGAACTGAAATAGGTCATTCTGATTTCAATTCTAGACCCCTATTCTTGTGAACCAAACAGATCCTAAGCTACCCCTCAGAAGCCAAAACATCTATATAGGGATAAGAAGTAAGCCATTACTCCATTTCAAAAAGGGAAAATTCCCAATTAGTACCTTGTACTTTGGGCCTAGTGCCACTTTGGTCCCCAAACTTTAAAATGCAACAATTCAATATCCAAACTTTTAAAATGTGACAATCCAGTACTTGTTGTTAACTAGTTGTTAACCAGCCGTTAAGTGGCATTTAAAAAAGACACAAATACCCTTCAAATGTCATCTAATTTTCTTTATCAACCATCCAAACATTGACAAAAAATTAACAATTTTAAATCCTTGCCTCTTCTATTCAAGAAAGTTGGGGTCACCAGAATGCCCACTCAAACGTGACCCCAACTTTCTTGAATGGAAAAGGCAAAGATTTGGGACTGTTAATATTTTGTCGATATTTAAATGATTGATAAAGAAAATTAAATAATACTTGAAAGGCATTTGTGTCTTTTTTTTTCAAATGCCACAGCTAATTAACGGCAGGTACTAGATTATCACGTTTTAAAAACTTGATACTGAATTGTCACATTTTAAAGTTCGGGGACCAAACTGGCACTAAGCCCAAAGTGTAAGATACTAATTAGGATTTTTCCCTTTCAAAAAAGAAGTAAAGGCTCAGTTTGAGAAAAGTGCAAATAAGAATATGCATACGATATATGTAAACCTTGTATTTGTACTTGTACAAATGTACATATTTGTATTTCCACTCTTCCCACACCGAGCCTAACAGAATCCATCAATCTTTATATAGGAACAAAAAGAAAAAGGAATGAGTTGGAAATGGGCCTTGATCTACTGCATGCCACGCTGTGTGATTGGTTATATAGGCTTTTAGGCACAACGTGCCAAAAAGAGCAGATTGGGAATGTTTGAAATTATTCTCAAAAAAATAGAAAGAAGGAGAATGCTCTGCTCTCAAGTCTGAACATGTTCACACGCTTTTTGATTTTAAGAAATTTCCCATCTCCTTTAGAGAGTTGAGACACTACATTCATTCCTATTCCTAGGTTTGTATAGACTTTGCCAACTATGCTATGAGATTGACATCTCTTTATTGGTAGCCCCTGCATTTAACTGCGTTACCATATTTCATCAGGTAGTAGAGGAAATGCCATGTTCTCCATCAACAATCAAAATGTTCAATTTGTAATCCATTTGAGTAATGCTTTCAAAAACTTTTTGTTCTTTGCTCAATTTAAAACAAGTGCTTATTCGTTAGGGAAGAAAATCTTGATTATATATATATTGTAAATTTAGAACAAGGTTTTTAAAATCAGATCAGACGTGGAACTGTTTTGGGGTTTGGTTCCTGAGTCGAATGGTCCAATCTTTCAGTTTGAATGAATGGCCCATTCTAACCAAAAAACAAAAAAAAACAAAAACAAAATACGGCAAAAAACTATTGTCTGAGTCAGCGGTTCACTGACCAAATTAACAGTTTTTGACCAAAAAACAGTTATGGGGTGAAACGGAATCGGTCAAGTGGTGATTCATGGTTTTCTGGTTCAATTGTCTGGTTCAGTCCGATTTTAAAAACACTAATTTAGAAGGCCAAAATTTGGAACCGGTTTTACTCTGTCTTGACCCAGACCTGATCCATTAACAGCCCAAAATAGTTGATTTTTTAGACATCCTAACAAATAAGGGTGTCAATGAACCGGTTTTGGATTAGACCCCACTCAGTCCAAAATCAATTTGGACGGATTGGATAGACCAATAAGGCATATTGGATTGGACCAATCTGGTCCAAAATATTTATTAGATTAGATTGAACCTGGTCTGTTGATAACAAATTTATATTGGATTGAGTTGGATTAAGCCAATTATCTGGTCGATTGATATAAGATAAAAATATATGTATCAATGGATCGGATTTGAGTTGAAACCAATCTAAATCAAAATGAATTTGAATAGCCAGACATTAAATTGGACCAATCCAAATTAGTTCAAAACATTCATTGGATTTTAAACAAATTCATCTATAAATATCAAACTGAAAATAAAATTAATTTGAATAGATTGCACTGATCCATTTGTAATAGATTGGACCAAATCCAGTCCAATTGACACCCCTACTAACAAATTCATCTATAAATATCAAAGTGAAAATAAAATTAAATCTATCAATCAAAATGCGTATGATACACAAATTTTTGTATCGTATGTATCGATATTTTAAACACTAAACTTCATTGAGGCTTTATAATTGTATTTTTTTGTCTGCTAGTAGATGTGCTAGCTATGTGGTTGTTGTACGTGTATGTCTCAGGTCTTAAACATTCTCTGCTTGTCTTCAAGGTCATACCACATTCAATTATCCCATTATGTTCAAGAAAAGCATCATTTGCACTTCGGGAACCAATTTTCTTTTTTTTTTTTTTTTGAGATTTTGTAAATGAATTTTAATTTTAAAAGACAATTGAATTATTAACTAGCTAAATAAGATGATGAAGTACGAGCTAGCCTTTACTCATGAACGACCCCATCTTTTGCAGTTAATTTTTGCATTGGGAAAAATTTTTAAAAAGAGAGAAATTATTCAGTTGCGCATTGTTTAGCCTTTTTTAGGTATATGGGCATTGTATGTATAGGTTCGAATTTGAAGAGAAAATCTTATATATTGCTAGTATTTCTATGGCCTAAAGTCTAAACAAAGAGAAATGCTAATCATACTATATTATAGCCTTGGACCTTTTCTCTTCTCTTTTATAAATTTCAGATTTTTTTTAATTTTAGTAAATAAATTTTAGCTATATTATTATTATATTTCCTTTTATTTTATAATACTACATCATTATTAATCATGGTTTTTAAAACTGGACCGGATCGGACCGTCGGACTGGAAAAACCAGGAACCGGTCACTTGATCGGTTGCATTCTTCTCCAAAACTAGGATTTCTCAAAAAACCGTTGATTTTGGTCAGTAAACCATTAATCTGGGCGATTAACCATTTGAACCGTTTGAACGGTTTTGATTTTTTTTTTATTTATTATTTATTATTTTTTTTGTCAGAACGAGCTGAACAATTGGGACCCGGTAACCGGACCTCTGACCGTTTCGATTTCCGGGTCGGTTTTAAAAACCATATTATTAATAATCATATATCTGAGATTTTAGAAGAAATTTCAGCTAAAAGAAACCTGGCTCATGTTTGACGTTTCTCATGTAAAAATTAATGTTGCTAAAAAGGTAAAACCACCAAGATCATTTGCACAAGAACAAGAGCACTCAACCTTCTGATCTACTTGATGGTTGGGCGTAAAGGTGGGCTCCACTGAAATTTTATCGGATGTGGGTCTTAGATGTTGGTAGACTTTGGAGTAGTAAATATCCAAGCATTTAGGCTGTATTCGGTTTAAAAGAAAAAAAAGTAGGTAAATATCCAAGCATTTAGGCTGTGTTTGGTTTTAAAAAAAAAAAAGGTAGGTAAATCTGTATAAAGCATTTTTTCTTTCTTTCAAGCCAAATACAACCTCGGCTTAATTTATATATAAGCAATTCATAAGTTGATTTGGATGCACCGATCCAAATCTCCGAGACACTGACAACCAAACAAGGTCCACAACCATGAGGAAGATGACGGCCTCCCTGGCTGATGGAGACCGGGCTGCCATCCACATAATCAAATCGTGCTCCAAAACTAGACAACGACGAAATATGGTACAAAAAGAACTCCACTCCTCTCAGTCTCTCACTCCATTTAACACACCATACTCCGTGTCTCCACACATTAACTCCCAACTCTTACTTTTGCATTCATTTTCTTCCCCTTCTGGCTTCTGAGTTCTGATTGTTTCTCTGACAGACAGACGGACTCCTCCCAGCAAACCATGAAACTCGCCAAGTGGCCATTACTCCACAAGAAGCCACATGATTCGCTAACCACCCCCCCACCTAGCCACCTCCACCATCACCCAACTGATCTCTTTTATTATTAATCCCCATTTAACCTTCTGGGCCCCACATCAAACTGGCCAACCTGATGTTGGCCCCACCCGTCCTCAAATAATCACCGTAGATGTATGGTCGTCCATGGTATACTACCTTGTAGCTTGCAGGTGAGCTGCGTGGAATAATATTTATCCCCCGTCCCCACTGCAAGAAAACATGCCAAGGAGAAAGAGACCGTTGGTGTCCCCTCATACAAGGACCCTTATCCCATGGTGCCTCGCGTCAAACGATATTTGTCCCCAATAATATAAGATCGAGCTGGTGGGAATACGACAACACACTCTCCGGCTCGGTACCGCCACCTGCCGGTATGGGTTACCGGCTAACGCTTCCCATACTTCTCCCGGCATATGACGTGGCTCAAATCGATTACGTGGCATTTAGAGCCGCGGTTGGTAGTGGTGGTGTGTCTCAGTGTCTGGTGACTGTGCGATGGTGATACCAAAAGGCTGCTCCTCCCTCTCGGGCACGTCGTACGCTCACATGGGACTCGCGGGGGGTTGGGATCCGATGAGCTGTGTCTCGAGCCTCAGGTTAGGATCACCACCTAGGCTCGGAGAACCGTTTGCCCTCCCGAACCTATTCCCTAGGTAAGAAAAACAAGAAATTAATCAAAATAGATAAAAAAAAAGGAAGTCTTCGTAGCTGCTTTGTAGTTGCAGAACTCTAGAAGCAGTAGTCCTTGCCTCCTTGCGCCTTCTCTGAGAAGCCAGAATAATGAACAAGCGAACACCGTAGAGACCAGAGAAAAAGATCGAAGAAGAAGCCTAATCTTCTCTCTCAAGATATATCTGTCTGTCTTCCAACTATCTCGCTCGAGTCTTGCCCATTGATGCCGTCTTCAACTGCTTCGCCATTAAAGCATTCACGCCGTCTCGCACGAGAAATCTCACGGAAAAGTTGCAGAAAAGGTCATCCCCTCCACTTTATAACCCCTGTAGTCCCTTTGCGCCAATCTAGACCTTCCAGGTTTCCCGAAATCTCTTCTCTCCAAGCTTCTGTAGGAGTTGGAGATGATGCAGAACAGTGATAGACCACCTCTGTTCTCCGTTATCCATTTCTTAGTTTCGCTGTACATTCCGTTATGCGCATTTGCCATATTGGATCCTCTTGATTTTTTAGCCTTGCAGTCAATTCGGAAATCCCTAGATGACATGCCAGGCTCCAGTTTTTTCTCCTCGTGGGACTTCACTTCCGACCCCTGCACCTTCGCCGGCGTGCTCTGTCAAGACGACAAGGTAATCGCTTTAAATCTCGGCGATCCCAGAGCCGGTTCTCCTGGCCTGACCGGGCGTCTCGATCCTGCAATTGGTAAACTTTCAGCATTAGCCGATCTCTCCGTAGTTCCTGGTAGAATCATCGGCACTCTTCCACAAACACTATCTCAGTTGAAGGACCTCCGGTTCCTCGCCATCAGCCGGAACTTCCTTTCAGGCGAGATTCCGGCTAATCTCGCCGAACTCGGAGGCCTTCAAACTCTCGATCTTAGCTACAACCAACTCACCGGCTCGATTCCACCATCAATCGGAACTCTACCTGCGTTATCCAATGTCATTCTCTGTCACAATCGTCTCTCTGGTTCGGTCCCTCCGTTCTTATCGCAATCCCTAATGCGTCTCGACCTCAAACACAATGATCTCTCCGGCACTCTCTCGCCTACGTCTCTGCCTCCGTCGCTTCAGTACCTCGCACTATCTTACAACGGACTTACCGGGCCGGTGGACAGGCTACTATCCCGGCTTAACCGCTTGAACTACCTGGACCTGAGCATGAACCAATTCACAGGCATCATCCCGGGCAATCTATTCACATTCCCGATCACGAACCTTCAGTTACAGAGGAACGTGTTCACCGGTCCGGTACTTCCATTGGATCAGGTAACAATCCCGACCATTGATCTCAGCTACAACCGACTGTCCGGGGAAATATCGCCTCTGTTCTCGACCGTCCAGAATTTGTATCTGAACAACAACAAATTTACGGGACTAGTCCCGGGCAGCTTCGTTGATAGGCTATTGGCTGCGGGCATACAGGTACTCTATCTACAGCACAATTACCTGACGGGAATCCAGATTAATCCGGCGGTCGAGATTCCGGTGAGCAGTTCACTCTGTTTGCAGTATAATTGCATGGTCCCGCCAGTGCAGACGCCTTGCCCGCTGAAAGCAGGTAACCAGAAGACGAGGCCGACATCGCAGTGTATCGAGTGGAGAGGTTAATGAATTAAACTAACCGTCAGAGCAGAGGAGAAAGAAGAGTTGCCGATATTCATTAAGTTAAAAACTGATTTCTTTTTTCTGTTAAATGTTCTTCTTTGCGAGAACTTTGATTCATTAATTTGCAATTTTTTTTTTCTCTTGTATTTGGCGATGATAAATATGAGTGGGAAGGTGATGAAATAAGTGGCTGTTACTCTGTAGATATGAATTGGCCGCGATAGGTGGAATTCATGTCGTCTGAGCGAATTCATTTTGTAAACTCTGGTTTCATTTAGATTTGAAAGGATTCCATCTATTGAATTATTGTGTTATAATTCCAAATGTTTTGCTTCTAGTTACAGTGGAGTCACCAGTGAAATACAGATGTAGCTTCATTATCCTGACTCATCTTTCTCTCATTTATGCATGGATTGGAACGACGAAAAGCACTCATCATTCAATTCCACATGCTTACCTGCACAGTGTTTTATTTTATTTTATTTTTTATTTTTTGATAAGATTACAGAGTGGTTGATGATGCATTGATGCCATGCATCATGGCTGTCTACTCTATATAATGGGCCCCTTTTCATGAAAAATCATTACAGTAACAGAAAAAATTAACAAATGTGGTTCAGCTGTGTCAACCCAACAAAAAAAAAAGAAGAGCTTAGAAGAAATTTCCAATTCTGGCAGGATAATGGAAGAACCCATTTGTCTCAAGCTCTGTTACTTTGTGTGCTGTCTTGAATCTTGATTCATGGGGTTAGTTGAATGGTTGGTTCAGATCATGTGCTCCTTTTGTACACTGAGCTCTACAACTTCACTAATTGATTATTTATATATATGCACATGTAATGTATGTATGTTTCCATTTATTTGATTTCTTTCTCCAGGCTAGCTCCCAATGGAGGAACCTAACTTTCAGACTTTGAACTGAAAATTTTTGCTAATTTTTTCTTCAACTGACATATTTCAGATATTATTTGTACTCCATTTGCAGAGAGTTTTCATTGTAAAAAGGTTAAAAAACCTTTTTCAGTCGAAAGTTTTTCCACCAAATTTACATTGAGAAACGTAAATAATCCTAGCTCCATGAGAACAATTGTAGCTTTGCCTACTTTAGTAAATAATCCTCGATAACTACTCCCTATGTGATGGTCCTCGTTATTCGAGGTTTGGATTAGAGTGACCACTGACCACCGCCACATTAATTGAATATAGGCCATAGGGTCTCTACTCTAGTATTTTGTCATGGACCAAGACCCATTTCCCCTTTTGGGGTTTGCAAAGATACTCCCATAGGATAGATGAAGAATGGGATTGTTAGTTAAAAATTAACCCTAATCAATGACAAATGTTTTACATTTTATGCTGTTGCCATAGTTGTAGTTAATTTCTCCATTTACAAGTGAATTTCTTTGCAAAGAAAATGAAACCGATAGGGTTGTAGATTGACCCTCTGGGTTGAGAACTTGATGACAAAAGGGCCCACATTCATTTCAACCATGTAATGTCACATCACATATAAAAGTCATTTCATCTAGAAAAATTCATGAATACGATTGATCATTTATGCTTTTAGTGAAAACATCATCTTGATTAAAAACAACAATTTATATTGATCGATCCAAAATGTAAAATGTTTCGGGTAGAAACATGGTAAATGGATGAAAATTTTTCTAGGAATATCACCAAAGTTATTAAAGAACTTATCCTCCATACTGTCTCTCTCTCTCTCCCACTTTCTATCAAATCAAACGCAACCTTTGTGAAGGAGAGATGAACGAGTAGACATGCTTAAACAAATCAGAATAGTTTCTCAAAAAGAAAAAATTGTCTGGTCTAGGTTTTATTTAGTCACGGTTCACAGTTTGATGTAAAGGTATAAATGGGGCCGTGTTATCCTGGCTAACACGGCCCATATATATTTATATATTAGCTATAGCTCGATTTACAGTCGGACCTAGGCTAAGACTTGCCTTACTGATCATTCTGGCCCATGGCACGGCATGACACGACACAGATTTGTATGGACTCGGGCCATGAAATGTGTTGGGTTGACCTCTCAAACTATCTCAAAGGAGTGAGGCTGGCCCGCACTTTGCATAAACCACACACTCGCCGTGTCGTGCCGGCCCAGCAGGGCCAGTTTTATAGCTCTAAGTTTGATGGTTCACAAAGAATCTAGGTCTTATGGATCATCACTTTCTGCAATCGTCCAACTGCAAAATAAAAATTGGGCGCCCTGTTTAATGCATGTGTAAACCTTAATTATTTCGCCTACATAACGTTTCAAAACAGCAGCGGCATTATAATATAATATAGTTCTGCCACAGCTACAAATAATTCCCTTATTCTAAATCTCTTGATATATATATATATATATATATATATTTTTTTTTTTACATAAAATTGCCTTTCACTTGAGTACAGTACTTTTAAATCGTTAAATTCCAGTACTTCAACTAAACAGATTCTTTCATGCAAATCAGTCCACAGGGAATGCATGTCGGGTTAGTTGATCTCTTTTAAATAATTAAAATAATCCATCATCATCATCATATAAGCCTTATCTTAATTATTTGAGGTTGACAACATGCTTAGTCTGTATAGTATAACTGAATTAATATGAGTGTTTGTATCGATCTTACTGTAATCCTTCAACTTGTGACAGATCACTTCGTATTTGTGGGTGTGATAGATGATGGTCTTTTTAGCCGATGGCTAAGCCCTCTTGATCTCCTTTCTCTCATTTTATCTCATACTGGAATTACTTTTAACTTCCTTCCAATGAATTATAAAAATGGCTTTAATATTGTATATTAGGATTAAAATGAATTAATATTAACTTCCATGAGAATTTGAACATATGACACTTCAATACTCGTACAACATTCAAACCAATCTCACCAAGATCACAGAGGAATAGGTAAATTTGGATATCCTTCAATCAGATCAGATTCAAATTCAGATGAAAGAATTTTGTTTGCAGCCCTACATAAACACGTGAGAATGATGCTGAATGAATAGGGTTCCATTGTCAATATGTTTCTTCTTTAAGATTTTGGTGTAGCATTCTAGCCCCTAAGATAGGGGTGATCATGGGTCGGGCTGGGCTTTGCCTTCATAACAATGGGCTTAGGCTAGGCCCAGGCCGCATTATGGGCCTAAAGATATAAGCCTGGGCCCGATCTAGGTCGAGCCAAGATTCTGGGTCTAATTATTAGTTCCAAAATTTAACAACTATACATTTTTTTTTTTCACTTATTGTTGTGGAGACTATAGTACCTGTAAGAAACTTTAAACTTAATATCAAGATAAAAGCTTCTAACATAAAAGAAATTAAATAATTATACCTTATAATTTATAAGTTTCAATTGGT